TCTGCTAAGCTGTCGTGGCAAAACTTTACGACAAATCAAGCAGAAATTGGTATCGTATCTTTAGCAAGGATGGCTGAATTATTCCCGCCAAAAATTAAATTGATCGCAGCGCCGCATATAGGCAAGGCCGCAAACTTTTCGAACAGCCCTCGTACAATAAGCACCCTATATATTCTCCACAGATGCCTTATTTCTTGGACAAGTTCTGTGTACTTGCTAATTTTTCCAGTGAATGTGTTTTGTATATTGTGAATGTTTGGAATGGATATGTCTATAATGTACGTGATTTTATTGTGTTTGTCAATGAGTGTGATGTCTGGTCTGTTGTGGTAAATTATTTTATCTGTGATTATGGCTCTGTTGTAATACAGTTTGTGCATGTTGTTTTCCAATACTGTCTGTGGAATGTATTTGTAGTATGGTTCGTGGATGTCTAATAATTTGTGTTTGTTTGCAAGTTCTTGGTGTATTATATTTGCTACTTGATTATGTCTGTGTAAATAATCTGTCTGTGCTAAGAGCTTGCACCCAGATGTAATGGTGCTGTATAGTTTCTGGCATGATGTGACATTTTCTGCATGTGTCATTTGTGAGTGTTGTATCTTTAAGTATGTGTTTTCTGTAGTTATTATTATTATTAGAAAATGATGATTTATTCACAATTATAAAACTGATTATTACAAATATGAAGCCATATACATTTAATACAATTTTTCAGTTCTGCAATATTTGTGAAGTTTAATATTTAATCTATCATTACTATTTATTGCAATATGACACTGTAAATTATTTATTACAATACATTCAATAAAGATAAAAACACTTGGATTTTTTAAATATATTTCAGATAGTAAAAAGAATTATAGACAAATTTAATTTTATGTATTTCAATGTCTTTTTACATTTATATACATGGCATCAAGTTCTAATATAAACAATAGAATAATTTTATTAAAATAAGTTTTTTGAAGTGTTCAATAATTATAAGATCACTTATAAATAATGGAGTAAAAATAATATTTCCAAAATTATTTATGAAAGATAATAGCCAGAATGCTCTCTTTTGTTTATGATTACTTTTGAAAACTTTGTCAGTCATCAATATGAACAACTTCAAAGAAAATCCATAGGAATTTCCTCCCATTTCTCAAAGATTGCAGTCTTCAGGTCTGTGGTGTTATCATATTGCTTTCCATTTCTGTAGACTGACCTCAAGTTCCTGATATTCTCCATAAGGTTCAAATCTGGTAGTATTACTGGCAATGCATGTCTTCAACCCCATTGGCCTGAAATCATTCTCAAGTAATGTTAATGGTATGGATGGGAAGTGTTATCTTCTGGAACTGCTACTGATAATACACGTCTTTCTCCAAAGATGCATTTTTAGCTGCTGCATGTATCCTTTAGCATTCTGCATTCCTTCAGAAACGACAATATTTGTTTTTCCTCACTTTCCAAAGGCAGCCCAAACCATCATGGAACCCATTTGTCATTTGGAGAAGATTTTTCCCTCCTTTCTTAAATCATTCCAATAGTACTGGCAATCAGGTCCAGCTAAATTAACTTTTTCTCATCTGACCACCCTGCATTCTGCCAATATTTCTTCCAGCTCATGTGATTTCTGGCCTAAGTCAATCTGTCAACCTTGTACTTGTCTGTAAGCTATAGTTCTGATTTTCTTTTGACATATTTGAAATAATTGGCAACATGAACTACATTCTAAACTATCCTCAAGCTTATTCCATATTCAAGTTCTGCAGTAATCTTTCTGAGAGAGTTTGTTCCATTCATTATTTCTCTTAAAACTGCTTGTTTCTTAAAGGAAAGTTTTTATAGCTTTCCAGGACTCTTCTCAACTCTACACTCTTTGTCTAACTTCAAATATTTCCTGATCATGCATATCAATCTTTCTGTTTTATCAGCAGAACTTACTAACTCACCAGCTTCATTTAGAACACTTATTTTACCCTTTTCAAATGCTGAAAGTATCTTGCCCTTTCTGAATTAACAATGCCTTGCTATACAGAGAACATTTTTTGGTTTCCATAACAACAATAACAAATAGTAGTTAAATGACTTAGTTTCACAAATAATTTTTTAAATATGTTTAATTGGATAAGTCTTTGAGTGTTCTTATCATTATTGGACACTAAAAATTCATTTTATTATGAATAATTAGCCTGCTAATTTATTTAAAATCATAACTGTTAGTGTACAAGTGTGTCTTTATGAAAGATATAAGTGACAACAATCAGACAGTAATAGTTCCTATAATTTTCAAATTATTCATAAAATGTTGGGTGTTATCATCTTTATTAAACACATTGTGTATTAACTAATCAGAATCAATAATTAAAATGAGAAAAATTAATTAGTTGATTATGATTTTGTATCTAAACAACTTTTTAATTTTTCACTGAATAATTAGCTTATAGAAGTGCACTCATTACTAAAGCAAAATTTACATATATTTTATGATCTTCTAATTTTTATATAAACTTGAAAAAAGAAGCAATTTTATTCTCTATTTTACAACATATAACATCTTCATGATAGTGTGTAAAATAGTTTATTGATGAAAAGATTACTCAGAATTATAGTTTGCTGCACAGAAATTAAATATAACAGCTAATCAAAAACAGTAATTAAGCTACTACAAAAAGGAAAAGTTCTGATTCTAAGACCTAGGCATTTTTAATCTATCTAGACATTCAAAAAATGCTTAAACAATATTTATAATGAAAGTAGCAATCCGGACTTAGGAAATCAAAGAGTTTGTAGTAACTATAATCATCTTGACTAAAATACTTGAGGGTGGATTTGAAAAAATTACTGAGTTTAAATAGTGTTCAAATATATATTTTAAATTATTTTAACTTAAAAAGTTAATTTTCTTTTACTACTTAATATGATTTAGGATTCTTCTAATTCTTTCTTCAGAATTAAATAATAATATATAGTTATAAACTTAAAATCTATTAATAAAAATCAATACAATTTTTCATTCTATTACATAATCCAGAAATGCTAGTGCACAAGTGACAATAAAGCTCCATTGACATGATGATTATTTTATTCAGCTTAGGTAATGTAAAAAACCAATAGAATGTTCAATGATAAAAAAGATACAAAAGTTGTACAACAAAATTAGTATCAATATAAATTTTTCCATTGTTTGTTTATTAAATTTTCTCATCAATCCTTAACTAATAGAAATGTAACAAATTCAAATTTTATAATTTCAAAAATAAAACCAGACTGTTTCAGGTCCAAAATACAGAACATCTGTAGCATCTCAATGATAGATTTGGCACTTGAAGAAAATTTAAATGGCCATACCATGACAATATAGACAAATGAAGCACACCAATATGTCACCTGCTGAGAACATAACTAACATAAATATGAAAGTGCCATTTTGACATAATTGGTTTATAGTTTTTGTCAAAACTTCAGTCTTTCATTCCTAATCAACTATTTGAGTTAGCCAATTGAATTTTTTCTTTGTAGCTATAACATCTTCTACTTGAAGGTTTTCTAGCAGGTTAATTTTTCTTATCTTTCAAGTTCTTAAGTCATTTTTTTAATTTTAGTTACATTGCTAAGCATTAAAATCTAAATAACTTTTGAAAATTTTGTGATGAAATAATTGCATGACACATACATTTTACTTTAAGCCTCTGAACCTTACAAATGAAATTCCAACATATTTTAATGCAGATAAAAACAAATGCAATATTTGCATTTTTTGTGACATTCTTTATTCCAGTCTTGCATTGTTTGAAATGATAGTGAGTGTCATGGTACACACAACTCAAAATTGATAGGTTTGATGTTGTATCACTGATGTTCCAAGCAGAAAATCTCACCCAATTAGCCCCAGAAAAGAAAGGAAATTTGAAAGCAATACAGTTTTTCACTCTATACTGTAAAATCTAGCCATGAACAGAATAACACTTAATTCTGTTCATGTATAGTTCCAGTTTAATTGTGCAGTGGTTGTTTTTTGTTTTACTTGTGGCAAAATCTAGCCATTTAAAACTCTTTGAAATCAATAAACTATAGTGCCCTACTACATTAAAAAATTTCCAATAAATACTCTTAACTTCAGAAATGCTTGTTTTTTATTTATAAATAATTTTCAACCATACATTTGACCATCTTCACTATCACTTAATAATAACTCTTTTTCAAACAGTTAACATTCTTCAATTGCTAATTATTCAAATACAACCATGATCCAAACTTAAACCATAAGTTTAAATCCTCTTTATAATTTAATTTGTCTAACCATTTTCTTCGAGCATTCAAGAAAAATTTTTTTGAACCAAAAGATAAATGTTTCATGAACTCAGAATTCAAAGGTTTAAATTGATTGATTATTGCAACATACGACCCAACTAACCCCCCAAAAAATTTAGAAGCAATAGTTTTCTGCTTTATACTATAAAACCGAGCCAGGCCTACATTAGATCTCGTCAACAAAAGAATTATCACGTTTACAATCTAATAGCCATTTCATAATAACCAAGACATAAAAGTCACTATGCTGCATCAAAAAGTGACCACTAATATAAATAATTGAAGAGTTTGAGTTAATGATTGACGTTAGGAATTTTCAGGTAACCTTTAACATAAGGAAACAATTCTCAACAGGATTGAAACTGCAGGAAGTAGCTGACATTGCTTTGGCTCTATAACATGGAACCATAGCATCTGAAAGACGAATGCCCATAGGGTCAATACTTGGAGGAGATTTAAATGGACCCATTAGGTGACACAGCAAATGAGCACATATATGACCCAATTACGGAAAAAGAAGAGAAAAAGTAGTAAATTAGTAAGAATTTCATTGTTGTAGGCGTATGTAAACAAGAAGAGGACGGTATATTCTTTTGGCAAGAAGGAAAAGATGTCAAAGGAACCCAATGTACCTCCTAACCTACATAATGCATTGGAGGGTCGCCCGCATCTCGCATCAGCCTACAAGCGACACTTACTGTTATATTTGCATGTATTTCGAACTTCTTTCCGTTCCTTCCAACGAAACGACAAGTTAATTCGTCCACAGATGCATTTACAACTTGAAACCTTTCGTGATTCTTAGGAAACAGCGACTCTAATGTCTTTATGTCCTGTTTGAGTGTGTTGAGGCAGGCCATCTCGTCATCTACACAACATCACTGTTTAACAAATTTATTAATTCAACTCTACAAACTCTCGTAATGTATCGTTAATTGCGAAAATAAAAGACACTTCTATCCCCAACTCACAAAACAAGATGGCGGACTAAAGACTGTCACTCGAATACGCATGCGTATAAAACGAAACAAGGGGACGATAAATCGAAACCTGTTCCGTTTCCGATACAAACACCATTTGAATTTTTTCCAAAGGAATAAATACTATTTTCGTTATTCACAATATTAATATACAGAAATCGTAAACGTTTTTCTCGTTGCCATTACTCGTTATCGTTTGGTTTGCACGCGCTTGTGTTACGTATCGATTTTCGTTTGATATTAATCCATAGATCGATCACGACGTATATATTCTGCATAAAAATAACCTTAATAATGGCCTTTAAACGTTGAATACGTATTTAAATTAGCCTCCCACTCGAACTACTTATTTCTAACACATCATCTATGCTAATGGCAAATAATTTAACATCTCGTGCAGTAAACCTAATCAATCATCTACATATTGGAAATGATTAATTATATTGCTCTATTTTATAAATGTTGCAAAACAATTAAGTCAGCTTCGACTTGCGCAATATTTAATGCTATGATACTCTAACTTGTTACTATAGCATCCTCATCCTCCATCCCTAAGCTTAATTGATGATGAGGCCACTAACAATATTTCATTTCAAAATTATTTTAAAATATAAACCTTTATCCTCACTCGTCTGTTATGAACTCGACAATGTTTATGTACGGTTTAACCACACAAACACGATAATTATTAAATTTTACAGTTTTATTTTAAACTCGGTACAAGAAATTTACCATACTTTTTGTTATTTTCTACAGACTTTAAGAGAGTCGACAGATCTGTTACCTGTTTTGAGAAACTATTAACAATCCTTAGAGGTAATTTATGGCATCTTTGCCATAAATTAATAAATGGTGAAAACAATGATAAAAATAATTTGTGATGTTTAATGTCTTTTTTTACAATTTGACTCAACACGCTGTCAATAAAACCATAATAGTAATTGACACTTTATATAATTTAAATAATTTAACAAAAACTAAAACATTAACTAATTTGCCTTAGTAGAGGTTTCGAAGGAACTCCGTGCATTTCGATGAAACCCACTAACGTCTCTGGCACGTGGCCTTCGTAAGTAAGGTTAAATTTCTTCACTGCTTTTGCTGCTATACATTTCAAACTTAACTTGGCTTGAGTTCTAAGTATGATTTCGGCAACTCCCGTCGTTGCTGCATCGAAGGGAGTCTCGCCATTATTATTTACAGAATCCATGTGAGCTCCGGCTTCGATTAATGCTGTTATTATTGAATGCAACGTGAGAAAATCACTAATTGGTTTCTGATAACCCACAATTATGTGTAGAGGTGTATTTCTCTTGTCGTCGATGGCATTAACGTCTGCTCCACACTGTATAAGTAGTCTGGCTGTTGCTGCACAAGGAAATCTACAGACGTTCTTGGTGTGGAAATCGTCGACGGGCGTGTCGGCATTCACCGTGAGATGCAGAAGCGTCGAATTGTTGCGTGTCGAGAGTGCCAAACGGTTAAGTCTATAAACAAGTTGATAAATATGTGTTTCTTGTTCTTTAGTACATTTCTTTAAGAATTTAGTTACAATTACTAATAAATACAGTACCGTATGTACATTATATTCTAAATCCTCTTGTTGAGACTCCATCATACCCTCACCACAATTACACAAAGACTGAACGTTTCTTTCTAATTCTTCCACAGCAGTTTCAATTACTTCTTCATTGTACTCAAAAGGAAGATCAATTCCTATATGAATCATCTGTGAAAATACTTGTGCAAATCTTAGAAGATCTTTACGAACAGTAACATGATTCCCATGGCGTAATCTCAAGGCATGCAACCAAAGTTGTATACATCTATCAAACCTTGCATTATCGGCAAACACAGCACCACGAAATATCACAGGATGAGGTACTTCTGGATTGTTAGGCCCCAAAATTCTCTCTCTAATAACTAATGATTCCATGTGAAGTGCATTAGGATTAAACTGAATTGCATTCAGTTCTTCTAAAGTCTGGCATTCTATTCTATTTTCATATGCAGGAATTGGGGGGATTAACTTTTTGGGAATTGGATCGAGTCTATCCAAAAAACGTTCCTTCATGGCCCAAGAAAGATAGTAGAATGCTTTTGTTAGGCTATAATGATCTTTATCATTAGCATAGGAAGCACCAAGCAATTCTAAAGCTTCTATCTTGTTAATTTTAGAACACCAACTCTGATTAATAAAATATTCGACCACTTCGGATTTCGTCCTTTCGGCAGCTGCCAACACCGGCGTCATTCCGACTACATTCTTCATAACAGTGGCACCATTCCGAAGTAACTCCTTTACAATTTCCAGATGACCCTGCTCTGCTGCAAAATGAAGAGCCGTAGCACCACAGTGGGCTCTCACGTCCGGATCGGCACCTCTCTCCAGCAGATAGTTCACTACGTCATGATGACCTTTATAAGATGCAATCATCAAGCAAGTGTTGTTATACTTATTGGCAATATGGATATCTGCTCCGTTATCTACCAGATATTTGACAATGTCCAGACGTCCGTCGAAGCAGGCGGCACGTAACGGCGTGGAATTAGTGCGCGTGGGATGATTGACGTTGGCACCGTAGTTGACCAGGCACTTGACCACATTCAAGTGGCCGGCTCCGGCTGCACACCACAACGGCGTAGCTCCTTCGATAACGTAACCATCAAACTGTACAGTCCCCTCCTGTTCTACATTAGCTTTAAACTTGTTAAGTAACATCTCTATTATGTTATTGTGTCCATTTTTAGCAGCTATAATGAGCGGGGTACACTTATGGCCATTTTCTTCAATCGAATATTCTAAATATTCTGAGAGTTCCACCCTAGGTCTGTCTGCTAACAACGCATACACCGTTACGAGCATACCGTCTCTGGCAGCATAATACACTCTCCTACGTAGCAATTCTTTCTCAAAAGTCTCGGCCATATCTAATAATCAACATAAAATCATTATAAACAGGAAACCTACGTTACTTTATCACTACTTTCAAATCTTTTATAACAATATATATAACAAGACGACATGCTAACATTTCGCGCATTTCATCCTGCGCAGTTTAAAAATGGCGATAGCAGCACCAAATGTAATCGTAATTTTTATTCATTTTTAAAACATAATCGTTACAAAATCTTTCTTACAATAATTAATAATAATTGCAATATACATTTATAATTTTCAATAATTAACGTTTTTAATTATATAACATAATTGCTTTCGTATTTCAATTTTTGTACATTTCAAAATGTCAGACGCGATACTTTTTGTTGTTTTGTTTTTTAAATACTTGCTTCTAGATCTATTTCATTCCTATTTTTTAAAATGTCTTTTACGCTTAACAGTTTTAATATTAATTTAAATATCTATTTGTTTAATTTTGCCTTGGAATTTTTGAAATTGTATGAACTTCAACGACCTTTCCCACATACAAAAGTTTGTAATGTTTTTGACCAAAATGGTGGCCAGAAAACGCAAAATTATCTTTAAAACTTCATTTTAAACTTTATCATATGAGTGTGATGCCCGAACTTTTGTTTTTTTTTATTACGAAAGCGACAACGCACTCGGTCTAAATTTAGCAAACGTTAAATTTGGAAGCGGTCCATATTGGAGCCATTAACTCTGTAATGGATCCACCTGTGCGAATGTAAATTTAAACAATTTTAAACGATTTGACAGAAAAACTACAAACTAAACAATTTTAAATAGTTCCAATTTTAAAATTTTTCTTAATTATTTTAATAAAATCTCATTTTTTCACAGCTTTTAGCACACTGCGGGCAGTAAGAAAGGCCTACTTTTAGGAAGCCCATTACGATTTCTACTAAGCCCACAACGCAGCGGCCTTGTGGTGACGGACGGAATCTGACATACTAGTAGCCAGGGACGCCCCCTAGTGGGCGTTCTTTACAAATTTCCATGAGGCACGGTTCCTTTGACTTTTTTGTTCCTATCAATATGCCCTACAGCTCTGTAAAAGTCTGAATGGTAAGATTTACCCTCCGAATGAAGAGGTGGCGATCCCCCCAAACTGTAGCCCCCTGTGCGAACAATAAAGTCAAAGGAACCATACCCCTACTCGCGACCCTTCGCGAGATATAAGCCCCTGAAATAATAAATTCCTATTACAAATATACTGAATTATTTATATTGTTATATTGACCAAATAATAATTTATTGGCCAAATGAATAATAATAATTTATATTGTTAATTTAAATAATAATTAAAATTGTTAATTT